CGTTACTGTTCATCAACATGGTTGTTGATGAAGAGTAAGAAAGTCTCAAACTAATTGTTAGCGACCGATTACACAAACAAGATCAAACAACTAAGCGTGACTCGCACTTCGGTCAGGCGCTTTATGTTGTCCGCAGGTTTATGTGCAGGGAGCTTCTGCTTAGTTTAGCGAGAGTGAGTTTAGACTAAGTTATCGGGTGAATAAACTTTAGTTCGAGACTGAGGTTTAAGACCTGCAGTCGAGCTACTTAAATACTGTTTGGGTCATGCTAAATATACTACAAGAGTCTGCAACGGTGCGGTAAACACACTGAACCCACATGGTGAATGCGATCAAGTCCAGAGAGTTAGCATAGCGAGATTATGAGAAAGCCGATAAGATAAGATAGAGCACGAAATCGTAATAGTGACAGGCATGGAAATTTAAGACCCGGAAGAACCAATTTAATGCGTCGAAGGAATCGTGCAAACCCAGTAGATGCTGCACGTTGATTCGTGGGTGGTGCATGGGTTTGACTTAAAGGCTGGCCAATAACAGGCTTAGACACCCACCTTGATGTCTGGGGTTTTGTAGCATTTGACGACAGATTTATCTTGAATATTCATTAAGGTATATTAGTAATATACTAGCAGACCATATATTGAGTAGCAAATACTCGCCAATTGTAATGTGGAGATGGATTGCATATTTTCCCTATAGCCTGTTTGTATGGCCTTCTGTTGGCACCATTATTCATGCATGGCATTAGTAACGACCGGTATTTTACCGCATATGAAGAGTGAAGGCTGTAACAACTTGTTGAAGCACATTGCCAAGCCCGCTCTAAGATCAGAATTGGCAAGGCTTTAGATCATAGAAGCTATCGTTAATTGCCTTCTTGGCTGTCAAATACTTTCTCCATACATTCTGTTCGTCAAGGGAACATGAGGTAGGAGAACTGGATCACCCTAATGAGGATGGAACTCCAGGACCACATGGGTATAGAATGATCATGTGGCAACAGCTACACTCCATGCCAAGAGGTATGACAGTACTTTAGAGAGTAGTCAAGGAACCTTATTGGGGTACAGCCTCCAAAGCGTTGATTGAAAATACATAACTCGCTTTGAGGCCGGCAGCAGTACCAAGAACAGAACGAAGGCTAGGAAATAATGAGATGAGATGTTTTAGCCTGGCAAGCTGCTCTATAGATACTTGTGGAACTCTTACCTGTGTATAAAGCCTGGTACTCTGGGCTGGAGTATACTGGTAGGGTCCGAAAGTTTCTGTGAGCCCCAAGGGCCTCTGTATTTGATCATGAATTGAAGCTATATGCATTTCAAGATATTTAGAGTACATATCAAAGTGTCGATCCTCAGAGAAGGCGAGCTGATTTTAATGGGAAAATGGCAGAGCGACAAGAATTTCAAGCAGAGTCTTAAGATGGCCAACTTTTGGACCCTAGAGTATCAGACGTGGCACAGAATGAAACACGAACAGCACTTACATGACCCCCACCCTGGGTAACCGGTTCCAGGCTAGAGAGCCTTGTTTTAGCCTTTCAGGCAATCAGAATGAGCATGTGATTACGATTCTTCCTGCCCTCAACACCAACACCGGTAACAGTACTGAGACGTTCTCTTCTCATCTACCATTTTTTGCCCCTGCCCCTGCTGTTGCAGATGGTGCTCTGTTGTTACGTCCACAGATGGAGTCCTTTGCAAAGAATATTGCCTGTGCAGTGGTTACATCCACAGATGGGATCCTTTCTGAAAGATCTCACCTGTGCAGTGGTACTCGGTTGTTACGTCTACAGGTGGTGTCCTTTGTGAAGGATCTCACCTGTGCAGTGGTATTCAGTGGTTACGATGTTCGATTGTGCTCATCCTCATCACTTTTCATTGAATTGTGTACCCTGCGATGAGTCTCTACTCCGTGAGATGCACTCAACAGTGTGATTACAATGGTATGAGCCTTTGCAGCCACAGTGCATGGTTTGCCATGTCAGGGCTGTGGACCTGGCCATTCCTTATTGGGACCTGGCACCAGTAACACCACCACCACCACCACCACCATCACCCACGTACTGTCGTTGAACAGTAGGACAATGAGGACAATGAGGTGCTAGCATATATGTAGAGATTCTGATAGAATACATCTCTACTCTCTTCCTCCTCTCATTTCCACGACTCCCCATGACTCATTCACCGTCGTGAGATCCAAACGAACTCCAGTTGAATGTGGCAAATGCTCCAAGTATCAGGGAGGCAGCCAAGCAAAGCACCTGTAGCTGCTACTTTGATGCATCAAAAACTGTTAGTTGACAGTTAATTGTGATACATCAGGAGTGTCAGTTTATATCCAGCCCATATACAGTAATTCCATCAGGATGACAAAGTGGCTTAGTAAGCTTCCCAATCTGTGTCAATGATGGCATCATTAGAAAAGAGGGCAATTCCGGGAATTGAACCCGGGACCTCAAAAATAAATCCAATAATGTCACATGACTTTCTCGAGCAGGCATGCTAACCACTACACCATACTGGCATTATATATATATCTTTTCATCTCTATATATACCCTCCCTCCCTTAACATTTATGACCTCATATTGATGCCCTCCCTTTGCTCCGCTCTGGTGCGCTCTTTTGCCTTTTTAGGCTCCCCAAATCAGCCCATCAATTTTGGCTGGATCCAGTGGCAGTGCCGCATTTTTAATACCCAAAATAGGGGCTATTTTCCGGTCAAAATAGCTATTGGGCTATTCTCAGGCTACTGGCTGGGCCAGGGGATGGCACTATAATCTGTATAGACATAAACAACATAAAATAGAGCCCTCTAATGATGCATAGGAGCCCTGGATAGTGGGATAAAAGGGTAATATAATGAAAATCGCATAAATATTCGCTTTTGGGGGCTGCTGCATGCATTGGATCGGCTGGAGGACTTCACCAATCGATTCCCTGACCTTGAAAACACCCAAACGACCCCTCCACAGTACTTTTGGCACACTTTATTCCTGGAGATAAACGAAAATATTCGCTTTTTAGGGTGCAGCATGCTCCAGATCGCTTTGAAAACATTACCAGTCAATTCCTATGCTATAAAAACCCTAGAATACATCCTCCTTCGTAATATAGGTCCAGTATAATACAGTATAAAAGGGGGTATTAGGGGGCATACATCGCTTATTTTGTTTTTCGCACTTCGGATGGCCTGGAGAGCATCACCAATGGATTCCCTGATATTAAAAACCCCAAAACGACTCCAGCCTTCATTTATAGGATCTCAAAAACGACAGAAATAATGATATTACAGTTTAGGAGGAGCACATGTAATAAATCCTATTTCTGGGCTTCGGACCACTTCAGAGTTTTATCTATTGTGTTTATTGACCTAAATAACACTCAAATGACCCCACAGGACAAAGGAAACCATCAGAAATACGTGATAAAAAGAGTAATAGGGGGATGGAGGAGACATACCTTATATTTCGCATTCTAATAGTTAGGGAGGGTATTCTTGTTATATAACAGACTATATATATTGTACAATGGTGTGTACGAAGCCCCATGGATATCCGAAATGTATTGAATGAGATATGAGCAGATCATTCTGTAAAACAGGAGGAGCACATCCCATATTTCGATGTTCTGCTCATTCTATGGCCTGGGGACTATCAGAATCGGATTCCTTGACCCAAAAAACAGTAGAGGCACTTATCATCCATAGGAGCCATTTTACCCAGATAACACATACAGCCATATGTAGTTACAGGACAATATAAGTGACAAATGAGAGAACATCTTGTACTTCGGAGTTTGAACATCTGAATACCATGGATGATAGGTGGCCCTACTGTTTTTTGGGTCAAGGAATCCGAATCCGATGATCCCCAGGCCATAGAATGAGCAGAACATCGAAATATGGGATGTGCTCCTCCTGTTTTACAGAATGATCTGCTCATATCTCATTCAATACATTTTGGATATCCATGGGGCTTCGTACACACCATTGTACAATATATATAGTCTGTTATATAACAAGAATACCCTCCCTAACTTTTAGGAATGCGAAATATAAGGTATGTCTCCTCCATCCCCCTATTACTCTTTTTATCACGTATTTCTGATGGTTTCCTTTGTCCTGTGGGGTCATTTGAGTGTTATTTAGGTCAATAAACACAATAGATAAAACTCTGAAGTGGTCCGAAGCCCAGAAATAGGATTTATTACATGTGCTCCTCCTACACTGTAATATCATTATTTCTGTCGTTTTTGAGACCCTATAAATGAAGGCTGGAGTCGTTTTGGGGTTTTTAATATCAGGGAATCCATTGGTGATGCTCTCCAGGCCATCTGAAGTGCGAAAAACAAAATAAGCGATGTATGCCCCCTAATACCCCCTTTTATACTGTATTATACTGGACCTATATTACGAAGGAGGATGTATTCTAGGGTTTTTATAGCATAGGAATTGACTGGTAATGTTTTCAAAGCGATCTGGAGCATGCTGCACCCTAAAAAGCGAATATTTTTGTTTATCTCCAGGAATAAAGTGTGCCAAAAGTACTGTGGAGGGGTTGTTTGGGTGTTTTCAAGGTCAGGGAATCGATTGGTGAAGTCCTCCAGCCGATCCAATGCATGCAGCAGCCCCCAAAAGCGAATATTTATGCGATTTTCATTATATTACCCTTTTATCCCACTATCCAGGGCTCCTATGCATCATTAGAGGGCTCTATTTTATGTTGTTTATGTCTATACAGATTATAGTGCCATCCCCTGGCCCAGCCAGTAGCCTGAGAATAGCCCAATAGCTATTTTGACCGGCAAATAGCCCCTATTTTGGGTATTAAAAATGCGGCACTGCCACTGGATCCAGCCAAAATTGATGGGCTGATTTGGGGAGCCTAAAAAGGCAAAAGAGCGCACCAGAGCGGAGCAAAGGGAGGGCATCAATATGAGGTCATAAATGTTAAGGGAGGGAGAGTATATATAGAGATGAAAAGATATATATAATAATGCCAGTGTGGTATAGTGGTTAGCATGCCTGCTTGAAAAAGTCATGTGACATTATTGGATTTATTTTTGCGGTCCCGGGTTCAATTCTCGGAATTGCCCTCTTTTCTAATGATGCCATCATTGACACAGATTGGGAAGCTTACTAAGCCACTTTGTCATCCTGATGGAATTACTGTATATGGGCTGGATATAAACTGACACTCCTGATGTATCACAATTAACTGTCAACTAACACATTTCAAACAGAAATCTAGCAGATCAGGCTGAGCAAAGGTGAGAAACACTTGTTAGTCTTGCCAAACTCTTCTCGATGAGAAGTCGATCTGGAGGAGGTACAGAGAAAGGTGGAGAAGCTGACATGAAAGAAGACTTTGTACAGTTCAACGATGGGAAATACATACTCAGCCCTGGTATGGACAAGGCCGCCACGAGTACCAGCAGGAAACCCACTGGGAAAAAAATGTCCTAGAGAGATCACAGGAAATATGCCGACAGCACAGAAGAAGCCTCAGGAGGAGGAACTATCCTTCTACCAGAGTGAGGGCAGCAAAACATAAGGCAGAGGACCTAGCGGAAGGGTGAAGACTATCACTCGGCATCTGTCCTGTCTATCTGTCGAGGTCTTTCATGTCTATATCGAAAACATTTACTTTATCATTAATATCTCCACCCAAGGCAGCACGGTATCAAGATCCTTGTTTTTTTTTCGTTGAGCCTTTCTGTCGAAGCCTCAGGAAAACTAGCTAAGGCATGAAGTCGACCTTGCCTCCATATCAGGATGAGCTGTCACACCAAGAGAAAATGTATTTGAACTGAACTGAACTTCGTCAGAAGTGCCAGCACCCAAATCTTTTCCTTTTTAGACCAGAATCCAATAGTGATTCATATCATTCCTTGCTCTCGAGGAGCAGAGTCTTTCTGCCTTTCTGGCCATGTGTGGATGTCTGAATAATTAACTTCCACGTCAATCGAGATATTGGAAGTAAAACGAAGCTTTCTTCATGGACAAGACATCAAGCTTTCAAGCTTCAGCTAGCTTCAAGGCCTTAAGCTGTTTCCTAAAGCTTACCTGTTTTGCCTTCCAGTCCAGCCATCGGTGCCTTGCATCTCCGAACACACGGAACGCTTCAATGACGTCTGGGATCTGAGATTCGATAGAGTTGAATTATTCTGCTACATGTAAGGATTACTCAAAAGCTATCCACATGGTTCTGACATGTAAAAGAAGCATGCCACTCTGGTATGAACCGCCACAGGGTTTGCACCCAATCACTCCTAGTCTATCACCACCTTCGTCATTCTCCAGTTGTTCTTCAGTCACTTGACAATTCCTATGAGCGCCTCAAGCTTCTTTTGCAATGGTGATGGCGACTTTGTTCGTACCATCTCCACAATACAGGCGACTTTCTATCCCACCATTTCTCACTTTTCAGGGTCCACAATCAGCTTGCAGATCTTTTGATTTTACTGTGGTATTTCAAAGCAGGTATGTGCTATCCTATGATAGCCCATAGGTCATGCAACTTCAATGTTACCAGCATCTTCGTCATACTGCCCTGCAGGCTATTCATTTTAGCAGCATTCACAAGCTTCATTGTGCGCTCTATCTCTGTGACCAACATATGAGTCTATGGCAAACTGTAACGAGCATGCCGACGAAAACCCGACTTCCACTCAATCCAACAAACCACAGCCCAGAATCCTATGGATTCTGATTCCCAGTTTCTATTTCATATTCCATTCATAGTCCATTTTATATTTCACTTCTCCATTACAATTTATCAATAGCCCGACATCAGTAGCGAACATGTCATCAGACCCCATCGGCTATCGACTGGTAGATTACATCCTCCGACAACCCTAGAATGTAGACCACTCCAAGTAGGAACTAGATTGGACTCCTAGCTAGTATATAAGCCTTAGAATTACACTGTAGATACTCAGTTCGAATATCAACTTGGTTCAGCCCAATCTCTCTCTCTCTGACTCTCAGTCTAACTCTCGTTCTCCAGTCCGCTGAACTCCGATCCGTTGGACTTATCTCTTACCTTGTCTCTGCCACTCTGCAGACTTCCGTCCATATCCATCTTAGGGCTTCGGCTCAGGGGTGACATTGCTAATAGCTTCGCCTATGCCCAACGCATCCCGCAGCATTCTGCTATGTGCACTTCCTGCTGCAATCCTATTGGCATGATCCTAACAGTATATTCGAACTCAAACCCTTGAGTCGAAATTCCTTCCTAACCATGTCTTCTACTTTCACTGTTCCTCCAGAAACCAGCCGCAACTCCATGGTCAACAACCGAACCTACACCATGGACGATATCCCTGCCTCTGCTTCAAAAGAGGGTCCCCTTCTCTTCGGATCAGATTCTGCCCCTCGCCAACAATCCCGTAGGGAAACCTACCTTCACAGTGGCTTCACTGCTTGCCAATCTGACGCTAACCGATCGCCTAACCCCTTCCTAGCCCAGCGATCAGAATCCAATGGCTGGGGCGAGTATCGAAGCGACCCCCCATGGAATCCAACTACCTCTCTGTTCGATGACATCCCAGGTCGCGATGACGACGACGACCAAGGTTCGGAAGATGGGGAATTCCCCCCTCACATGCCAATGAATGGCCGCAGAAACCCATTGGGAAATCCTGGCGGTGGCCCACCCAATCCTGGTGGCCCCAGAGGTCCTGGTGGTCCTGGTGGTCCTGGAGGAGGACCTAACAACAATCCTGGTAACAATCCTAATCCTCCCAATAATGATGCCCAGATCCTCATTCAACTCATGAATGTCCTCCACGGCATCTCCGATGCTGTCAATGGCAATCGACAACGTGCAGTATGCACCAAGGTCAAGGAACCAGATACCTTTGACGGTTCGGACTCCTGAAAACTTAAGGCCTTTATCGTCTCCCTCCAGTTGAACTTCAATGACCATCCTGACGTGTTCCGATCGGATATGGCAAAAGTCAACTACGCTATCTCCTTCCTTTCCAGTGTCGCCCTTGACTGGTTCGAACCGGATATCCTCCACCCTAATCACCACAACCCTCCTGCCTGGGCATATTCCTATGCCGCCTTCCTTTCAGAACTGCGAACCAACTTCGGCCCCTTCAATGCCGTCGGAGATGCCGAAGATGACCTGGAAAACCTTCGGATGCATGACAGAGACCGCATCATGAAGTATATTGTCAAGTTCAATCAGTATGCTGCCATTATTGGCTATGGTGACAACTCCCTTCATCACGCCTTCTACCGTGGCCTTTGCTCCCGCATCAAGGATGATATGGCTCACCACAGGAAACCCGATAATCTCCGTGATATGCGGAATCTCGCTCAAGAGCTCGATGCTCACTACTGGACTCAGAAAGCCGAAATCTCCCGAGAGAATCGCAGTAACCCATCTTCCTCTTCCAGCAAGAGCAACAAGTCGAAAGGTTCTAACTCTTCATCTCCCAACTCCAACTCTGCGAACCAAAAGTCCTCCCATTCGGGCTCCATGGGATCATCTTCGTCTTCCCCCAACAACTCTTCCTCTTCCAACCCTAAGCCCTACGCTGACAAGCTAGGCAAAGATGGCCATCTTACTCAAGAAGAAAAAGACTGCCATCAGAAGAATAACCTTTGCATGTTCTGCGAAGGTAAGCACAAGACCGAAGATTGCAACAAGCGCAAAGCCACGGCCTCCGCTCGGGGTCATGCAGCTGCAGCTACTCCTGCCCCTACTCCCGAGTCCACTGCCTCTATTGAAACGGTTCCGTCGGAATCAGAAAACTAGAGAGCAACCCTGTATCCTCTGCACTAGGACAGGGTTGCGTTGACTGTCACAGTGCACTGGAGATCGTAACCCTCAATGCTGCCACTCTTTCCAATCATTCCCTAACTGTCTCTCTCTCATCTGAAGTCGGCTCCAGATCAGACTCCGACGGTTCACCCATTTCTACTATCCTTCATTTTCTTGCACTCGTTGATTCTGGCTCTAGCCACTGCTTTGTTGATTCAAAGTATGTTGAGGATCACAATCTCCTTACCAAATCTATCCCACCTGTCCAACTTCGGCTTCTCGACAGCTCCATCGGATCTCACATCTCCCAATCCATTTCCCTTCCAATCCATTTCTCTTCTGGAGACACCCTTCCTATTGACTTCTATGTCACTCGTCTAGATTCATCTTGTAACGTCGTTCTGGGATACAACTGGCTCTCCCGCTACAATCCGTCGATTGACTGGGTAAAGCACAGTATCACTTTCCGTTCACTATTATCAGTTGTTTCTTCTTCAAGCGCTTCCGCGGCTGCCGACACACATGTGCCAGTCCGCTCGGACCCTCCCAGTCCAATCCAACCATCCGAATCATCATCTTCCACCCCAAAATCGAGATCCCGACGGGCTCCACCTCCTTACGAACCTATCTATTCCTACCCTACCATTCCCTCCTTTGGTGCTTCAGCCGCCCCCAAGATATCTATTATTTCGGCTGCCGCTTTTGTCCGAGCTTGTGCAGAAGAAGGGGCCCAGCAGTTCACATTACAACCTTCTATGCCTAGTGTTAGTGGCAAGTCTACCTCCACGGCTCCCGCTGACTTATCCGACATCCCACCGGAGTACCATGAATTTGCTGATGTATTCAGTGATTCCCTTTCTGAAAAACTCCCTGAGCATCGCCCTTACGACCTCAAGATCAATATTGAGGAAGGCTCCACCCCTCCGCTCGGACCCATCTATTCCCTTTCTGAATCCGAACTAAAAGCCTTATGCGAGTTTATTGACGATAACGTCCGTAATGGTTTCATCACTCCTTCCCGCTCTCCGCATGGAGCCCCGGTACTGTTTGTCAAGAAGAAAACTGGTGAACTTAGACTCTGTGTAGATTATCATGGCCTTAATAAAATCTCTAAAAAAGACCGTTACCCTTTGCCCCTCATTTCCGACCTCCTCGATTCCACGCGTTCCGCTCGTCTCTACACCAAGCTAGACCTTCATCATGCCTATCATCTCGTCCGCATAGCCGAGGGCGATGAATGGAAAACCGTGTTTTGGACCCGCTACGGCTCCTTTGAATGGTGCATCATGCCATTTGGACTCACCAACGCTCCCGTGGCTT